TTGTTGTCATGCAAAACCAATCAAAAAAGACAACCAAAAGGCAAAAAGACAAATTGCACAGACATCAAATTATCATTTATCTGCTGTCATAAAACACAAAAGCTTAATCACTCTCACTGGACTTTTTTGACTCTTTGTGTGTGTGTGTGCATGTGTCTGTATGTGTTTGTGCACAGTAAATAGAGAGTTTGTAAAGTCTGTGCTTTCCATCTGTCAGCCCTTGCATAACTTTCTTACGTAGATGCGTAGCTCAGCTTTATTCAGACATACAGTTAGCCATACAGGAAGAGTGAGAGAGACACATACATGCTCCACCCACAACTAAAATGGGACCTTTGTTCAATGCCTCAGTAGGTAACTGATTAACATCTTTGTGTGTGTTTATTGGAATTTTGCCAGCATGGCACAGCACTGAAAGGGCAGCTGCACAATAAGCTTTCAATTTAGAGCTTAAAATGAAGCCAAAATAGCCCTATCACTATTTACTTTTATTTTAGAGGTTTAAATAAAAGAGGATTACATGATGTTAAATGATAAAACATGCCTAAAATTGATTAAAATGCTTTAAAAATAGTTTGTACATTTATTGCAGGAACTCTAGCCCTAGTAATTCTTGAATGTTCTACTTCGATTTCTGCAAACTCCATCCTTTTAAGAAGCCCAGAGTGCTTTGTGATTTGCCAGGCGTTGTGACTGGCCAAACGCCACACACATGCTTCTAAAGTAATTTTAAGCACAATAATGGTCCATAATGGTTAAAGATTTGTTGTGTCAGTTCAAGTCAAGACCATGGCAGACGATGTGGATGATAAAGCATATCAATTACAACCAATTTGTACATTACTTGTGCAAAATTGTTCGCCAAGCCATTTAGCATCTCCACAACATGTCGGCAGCTATACTCAAGTATGTCCTAGTTGAAACACAATAATTTTGTGTAAAAAAAGTCCTCCAATGGGCTGTTAACTATTAAAGCCAGCAGTTGGAGGAAAATATGCTATTTAAAACAGTTTTGGTATTTTGCTAGATGTGTTGTACTGAGCAATAGCTGATGTGGCTTGTGTGAAAGGGGAGTGTGGCAGCTACAGTGCTCTCTTTGTTTATTATGAGGTTGTGGCAGTGCATGTGGGCAGATATTGTGCCGGTCATTTTGGCCACACCAATTTTAGTTGTTTTGTCAAAGCACATTTGACCTCGTAATCTCAGTCTTTGGAGTTTATTTATTCATAAATATGTAAGTGGCTAACTTCAGATCAGACAAACCTGTTGAAAGTTTGTCCCATTATTAATGGAATGACACAGTTTTTCAAACTAATCCAACCAATACTTCCAAGTTATTACTAGTGTAAGTCATTCATATAAACTGTTTTACTCATCGGCTTTGCAAATGAATTCTTTTTGAAATTTCTTTTAAAGCTTGCTCTTTTTTTCCTGGTTGGGAGAAAACTTGAGCAAAGCCCAGTGTTTTATGTGTGTGTGTTGAAAAGGTTGTAGGAAGGGGGATGTAGTCCTATGCAGAATCAAAATTCTTGACATTCCATTGTGAGAACGGAAGGTAGATTGAGGAAGAGAGTGGAATAGCTTTGGTTGGGGCCTAAATGGTTTGTCACTCTTACTTTTGTCTGTTTTTTTTTTAATGTAATGATGACACAGTGATCATCATGTATACAACAAGGATATAATAGTTTTGGATTTTTTATTAGTTTTAGTTTTTTTTTTTTTTCAAATTCAGTTTGTTTTAATTAGTTTTTAGAGGTGGATTTACTAGTTTCTATTAGTTTGTATATTTTGAAATTGCTTGGTTTTAGTTTTGTACTAATTAGTTTCAGTGTTAGTTTAGTTTTTACTGATTGTTTGTTTTTGTAAATTAGGATATTTGTTAGGTGCAATATTCAAAATAATCAGAAAAAATATTTTATAAAAAAAACTCAACCAAAGATGGGCTACATTTTGACACAAGAACACTGTCATCTACCCATCCTCAAATTCAAATACAACAGTCCACAAGATAGCGGGCCTAAGTACAATTTGTGTGCAAGGCTGCTTCTGAGGTTAGATACACAGTAGTGATGGGAAGTTCGGATCTTTAGAGCGAACCGGATCTTTTGTGACAATCTTCCCATGTTTGGACTCAACTTATCAAAAATAGGTAGTCAGCAATCATAATTTCAGTCAGTTAAAACATCACCATAACTTTAAGGGCCCTATTATACACTCAGCACAATAAGGCGCAAGACGTTTTTTTTATGATGTGTTGCTATTTTTAGCCCATAATTTTCCTGTTTTTCGCCACGCTGTTTAACTAGCAAATCCATTTGGGCCACTTTGTGGGCTCATGAGTATTTTGGTCTAGATAAGAGGCGTTTTAAGGCGCATTGTTGGCGTGTTGCTATTTTGAGGAACTAATAAAGACTGCACAATAGACCAGCTAAGAGCAGGTCTAAAGTCCAATACAGAGCACATTAGTTGTGCACCTCCCTCACACATGTACATCCTGTCTGCTTAATACACACAGCATGTACAGCAATACACACATATTTACAAATGAAAAAGAATTAAAGGAATAAAATATTACAAAAACTATTATTTTCTACATAAATATAAAAACCACAGCCTCCATGTCTTCTTCATCTCCTGGGGCCTTTTCAGTTCATTCATGACAATTTGTTTTTGTATAATGTTATTATTAGTAGTAGTATTATTTATTATATGCATATTTATATTTGTTTTATTAAAAAAAAGCATGCCCACCTGTCAGGTTTTGGACCATATGGGGCATAGCATAGTTTTTTGACCACACTTTGTTATTATTATTAATTTATTAGTTTGCTGGAAATTATTATGGAATTGCAGTTCAAGTTTGCCTCAGTCACAGCAGGCTGTCATGTACTGTTTGTGTTTAGCTCACTAATTCACACATGCGCAGTATTAGTGGTCCACCTCTTGTCAAATCTGTTATCGGTGTTTACTGTTCTAATAACTGAATAACTCTCTCTATATATTGGTTTATTTCAAAGGCGGTATCAGGCATGTTAGTAAGTAGTTTGTGGATAAGTGCTTAATGCTACTGGAGACGCAGTTCGATTTGGTGAGATAGCTAAACTGGTTCACTTAGGGTGCTTTCACACCTGCCTTATTAAGTTAGATTGAATCACACTAGAGTTCGTTTTCCTTCTTGGTGCGGTTCGTTTGGGCAGGTGAGAATGCAGCAATCGTACTCGAGTGCGCACCAAAAGCGGACCAAATAAGCGTACCAAGACCTGCTTGAAGAGGTGGTCTTGGTACGCTTTCAAACGAACCCTGGAGCCGTTCGTTTGTGGTGAGAATATGATTCGTACTAAAACAGGTTCAACCGCAAAAAGTACTGGGACTTTTGGACTAATCCAGCTGCCTTAGGCCGATGCGCTGTGCATTATGGGATATGGAGGAAAAATATTTGTTGACAGCGCTTTACTAACAGAGAGAGAGAGAGAGAGAGGCAAAACATTACCTGATGGATCATTGGTAATATTTCTGCAAGATGACTATGTTCCAGTTTAGCTAAATTAATTCACGCCTCCTCCTGAAGTGACGAGCGATGCATTAAAACGCTGTTTTCCAGTCGCAGCTAGAAATGTGTAGTTTGTCTAAAGCAGGGATAAAATCAGTCAGCGCAGTCGTCCCTCCAGAGTAAAAATGACATTTTGTGTCTGCCGGTTTTGTTTACTTGCGGGAGTTCATTGGCATTTTCCCGCACATGAATTCTAACTAATCAATAAGCAGTTTAGGAAATATGTTCAACAACATCTGGCCAATGAGAGATGTGGATTTTGTCAGATGACTGCATTTTGGTTCGTTTCAACTGGTTCGGACCAAAGCCAGCAGTGTTGTGTGAAAACGACCCAAAGATGGCAGAAGATGCAACAATGTATCATTTATTGCCCTTGTTCCGGACCAAATAAAGCGAACTACAGATGTGAAAGCACCCTTAGGAAATCTGGTTAAAAAGAATGACTCATTCAGCACAAATGATTATTTGGCACAAATGTGTTAAATTAATACTTTTAAATATCTTCTCGGGTTTAATGTTTTCACCATATTGCAATCACGTCCACTCTTTGTTTTTGTCGCGGGAGCAACAGCGAGGATGACTGGAGGACAACCGGCTTGATATGGCTGGATTACAGACTCTGAGGTGTCGTACGGGTCAAACACCTGGCAGCGTGAAGTAAATAGATTTACTTTTAAAAGGCATACAGTCTGAATTAAATACGTTAAAAAAAATGAAAATGAAGAACATTTTTGCTACAATTTTAGTTAGTTTTGTATGTACACAATACAGTTGTAGTTAGTTTTAGTTTTTTTTTTAAAACTCTCGTTTTTATTTTTAGTTCAGTTAACAAAAATCTTTTTTTCAATTCAATTTTTTTTTTTTTGTTTTTGTTAACTATAATAACCTTGCTATAAAAATGAGTAATGGTTATGCTTTCGCGTTTCTGAGTGCTCACAGATGCTGGAAGCTTTCTGCAGTGTGAGTGTGTGAGAGTGTGTGTGTGTTGCCTACTTTACTATTTTCTGGGGCATACCAAAACCTGACTAAATTAAAATTACTTGTAGCTGCACTATCATTTATAAAACTATTACAAAATAAATATGTGAAATTGTGAAAGTGGAGAATTAATTCAGTCCTAGCCATACTAATTAACAAAGAAAGACATGCTATTTGGCACATGCTACTAACATTGTAGTATAATGTGAGGTTTACCATGGATTAAAAATGCTTTGCTTGTTGCATGTGGGAAAAATATATTATCACATTACCACATCCAACACTAATAGCAATTCTTTATTTCTGAATACAATATAGAATCCACTAGATAATGTTTGCACGTTTTCAATAATAAGAGGGTATAACTGCTGTTGTACATTGAAATATTAGAGCCATGAGTTGCTGTACCAGCTGATATGGAGACGCTTAGTGCCCTTTCATCTTAAATATTTTGAATCCATCTGTGTTTCAGTGTCAGATGCAGCATCCTCTTCATCCGATCATGGAACCAGCTATGAAATAAAAACTGCAGAGACAGCAGGTGAGTAAGTGGGCGCATTTGTGTTCATGTGTTCATTTTTATAGGGATCAGACCATAGATCGTGCTGAAAAAAGCATGCTAAATTACCATAAATCGCAGGAAATGTGCTTAATTTACACTTATCACACATAAACACAATCTAAATATCATATAATAGGTCTGCTCGTACTGAACACTTTGCCACAAAAATCACTGCTGTCATTCAAACCATTTCAAACATGTCTCTGTTTTTTTTTTTTTTTTTTTTTGCTCAATCTGAGTAAACACGTGTAGTATGAATCTCTGACTTGCCTAGATCAATAATCATTGAGGAACATTTAGCTTTCCCCTTTGGATAGCTGGCTATAACACTGTCACCAGTGTAACAGGCTCAATTACAGAAGGGTCTTTATAGACCTACATGCCTGTAAAGACATAAAGAAAAGTCAAAGCTTCATGCAATGAGAAGAGCAGCACCCTCGCTCTCTATCTAGCTGTCTCATGCTCTCGTTCATAGAGGACGAACTGTAGCATATGGAGAAAAGGCTGTATTTCATTTTTATGTGACTAAGAGAAACAGTTTTAGTTTTGGTTGTGGTTTTGACATTCTATCATAGTAATACAACTGGTTATTTGTTTTTCTGTTTGAATGGTGGAATGACAGAAGGAAGTATGTGTAGAATGATAGTAGGCCTGCATAGTACTGCAATGAGCAATGTAGTGAGAATGTGGCATGTTGTCCAAGTGTATTATAAACAGTTCCTGTTTCGCAGAATCAGATAGGAAAATTAGTATGTGGGTTTCCCATTTGCCCATTAGAGTGCAAGAAAGCCTATAGTTCATGTATTTATTCATTTTTATACTTTTTACATAGTGATAATCTTTATGTGACCTCTTTTGAACCTAGCACTGTGTGTGTGTGTGTGTGTGTGTGAGGGGGTGTGCACCCCTATCAAGCTTTTTAGTACAGAGGTCTTTTGTTTCCCTGTGGTAATGAAACTAACACAAGTGTATTCTCTTGCTCAACGAAGCAATTCATTTTCACAACATGACAACATGGGAGGTTTTATGTTGCCCTAGCATCACACTTCATCAGAAATAGAGGAAGTGTCATACAACTGATATCCTGTGTTATTTCCTAATCTTTACATGGTGAAATAACAGTCAGTTATGACAGTAGAAGCAAAAGTTCTAGATGCATCGTGTCACTAATTCTGTACACTGCAAAAATTATTTTTTTTGCTTAGATTTTTTGTCTTGTTTCTAGTCCAAATATCTAAAATGTCCTAAATCAAGAAGGATTTCCTAGACAAGCAAAACATGTTGTCTTGTTTTGAGAAATAATAAGCTAATATTAAGTGAGTTTTTTCCTTAAAACAAGCAAAGTAATCTGCCAATGGGGTGAGCAAATTAATCTTGTTTTTTCTTTTGACGTAAGATTATTTTGCTTACCCCATTGGCAGATTATTTTGCTTGTTTTAAGGAAAAACTCACTTAATATTGGCATATTATTTTTCAAAACAAGACAATATGTTTAGCTTGTCTAGAAAATGCTTCTTGATTTAGGAATTTTTAGATATTTGGACTAGAAATAAGACAAAAAATCTAAGCAAGAAACGCATTTTTTGCAGTGTAAAAGGCTTGGTGGTGTTGCGTGAAAGCATAAAGACATTAAGGAGACTTTTTCTTTCAGAGATAATAAGAACGGGTTCATGCATGTATTTGTAGATTCATGATTTTTTGCCTTTTTTAGTAGGCAAAAAAGATGTATTGGGCAATGTTTCATAATTGTGCATTCATAGCCAGATTTCTTCACTCATTCTCATTTTAAAAGTCTATTCTTTCACCAGCACAGTGACATTTTACCCAGTGATTACCACTTTAAAGTGCTCCTATTACAATTTCTTTAGAAATTTCTTTCAATTCTATTCATCTTTATTTCTACAGATGTTTTGCAATGTAGATTGTGTCAAAGCTGCTTAACACAGATGGAGTTCTTCTCTAATTGAAACCGTTTCAGTCCAGTTTCACAGTTGCTTCGTTTTAGTTTTAGTTAAATCCAATGATGTGCTGCTTCATAAGTCCCAAACCAAGCAAGTAAAAATTCACCAATTAATGAATGTGAAGGAAATTTCCTTGAGAAACACCAGGCTAAGCTGAGCACGACCAGTTCTCCTCTGGCCAGATGTCTTGTGCAGAGCAGCAGTTTTGTTACCGGAGGCTTGAGAATTCTGGACGTCCACCGTGGAGAAGCTGCTGGTCTGAGTAGCTCACTGGCGGGTGTTCAGGCTAGCCCACAGGCTCATTGCGGTGACTCGTCTGTCACTGGGGTCTTTCAGGAATTAGTCTCACGCTCTCCATCTGCTCAGGTTACAGGCTGGGTGCAGGATTATATCAACCTTGGGATAGGGAGAAACAGATTAACATTAGCATTGTGGCTGGGCGATTTAGCCTAAAAACAAAATCTTGATATATTAAAATTTTAAATTGATTGCAACTAATAAACGATTTTTTTTTTTGCACAATGTGTTTATTTGCAAGACAGAAGGTAACAGAAAAAATTCAATTATTTCCCACCTCAACAAAAGAACATCACTCTCTTCTCCCCTATAGAAATACACAGAATTCTCTTACAAGAGATAATTTAAATGCAAAAAAAATATTGCTAGGTATCCAAAAACCAAGTATGTATTACTGTACTTTACATATAAAAGTTACATTATCTAAGAAAACAAAACGAAACACTCACAAAAAAAAACAAAAAAAAAAAACACTATGACCAATATTATTGTTGTTAATGTAGTAATTAAATGGCTTCCATATTTATTCATATACATTCATTTTGTTTTTAATAAAAATATATTACTTTTTTCCATGGCCATAAACTGTGCCATGGCACTAATCCAAGTTCTAATAGATGGTGGATCATTCTTAGCTTGTATAATAGCATAATCTATGAATTTGCGCAGCTGAAGATTTAGTTTAAGGTTGTTTGGATAAAAATGTAGCAAAATCATTTTCTCATCTAGTGGAATATTCAAGGCTATAATTACCTTTGTAATATTAATCACTTTCACCCAAAAGTCTCTAACAACATTGCATTCCCAAACAAAATGCACAAATAAACCCTGAGCCTCTCTGCATTTAAAGCATGTATCAGGAATATTTTTATTAAACCTATTTAGTTTGACAGGAGTTTTGTAAGTCTGCATCAACCAGTTATATTGAAGTATTTTTAAGCTAACGTTCCCTCAGTGTTTCTGAGAATTTTTACAGACTTGTCTCCATTTATTCAGCAGACCCTGATACAGGCCAATTGTAAAAAAAAAAAAAAAAAACTGATATTAATCCTTTATTATTGCATTTCTTAGTAATTAATTCCTCCAGAGAGGAGAGTACTGGCAAGTATGATTATTGGTTCTGCCTAGAAAGAACAAAACTCCTTATCTGTAGGTATTTAAAGAAATGTTTTCTTAGATTATTGTAGTGTATACTTAGTAGTAAATTGCTCAAACGACATCAACGTTCCCTCCTCAAAAAGATCACTAATTTTGCCTAATCTTTTTTCAACCCACAACCGGAATCCTGAGTCCAATGAACAATTATTTTATTTTATTAATTAGTTCATAGTTCACTGATAGGTTTTGTACAGTAAATATGCTCACATATTACAAGTGAGAGATGTTTAAATGAAGGGTGCATTACTTGATTTTAAAATAATTGAAGAAAACATGCACACTCTACTATCTAAGGTTATTTACTTGAACAAATGAAATTAAGACACACATTGTCTAATACAAACAGTGACACTTTCTAATAAAAAAGTGCAAATAAATAGCATACCCTTTTGGAAATAAAATTTGTTGTTGTTGTTATTATTATTATTAATATTATTATGTTTTTCATATTAAAAATAGAAAATAAGCACTTTCTCTTCTAAATGAAATAACTCTATCCAGTAAATAATATTTTAAGCAGTGCTTTTATCACTACCTCTGTTAACAAATATGTTTCATGTAAGTAATACTTTTAGGGGCGAAGCAGTGGCGCAGTAGGTTGTGCTATCTCCTCATAGCAAGAAGGTCACTGGGTCACTGGTTCAAACATTGGCTCAGTTGGCGTTTCTGTGTGGAGTTTGCTTGTTCTCCCTGCATTCACGTGGGTTTCCTCCGGGTGCTCCGGTTTCCCCCACGGTCCAAAGACATGCGGTACAGGTGAATTGGGTAGGCTAAATTGTCCGTATTGTATGAGTGTGTGTGTGTATGTGTGTGTGTATGTTTCCCATAGATGGGTTGCGGCTGGAAGGGCATCCGCTGCGTAAAAACGTGCTGGAAAAGTTGGCGGTTCATTCCGCTGTGGCAACTCCCAATTAATAAAGGGATTAAGCTGACAAGAAAATGAATGAATGATAATACTTTTATTGTAATGGAAAATATGCTGTCTCAAGGCTTTTCTGGCACAGCTTTCAATCATCATCAATGTAGTGCAAACGTGTGCAATGTGTGGTTACATTTTTTGAGAGGTGCACAGGTATGCGACCGAGCAAAGGCTGTGCCAGACCACACCCGTGCATTTGACGCAGAAGTATAAATCAGTCTTAACAGAGTGGGGTCACATGACTCCATACACGGGGAAAGTAATTGAAAAAATTGGATCGATTGTAGGTTCTGAATATCGTTAACGATCATTTTTTGATTAATCGCCCAGCCCTAACAAGCATAGATGCCATTCAAATTATAATGCCTTTTTTTGGAAATGTTTCTGGCTCTGGTTGCCCTAATTAATGCAGCCTAACAAGGCTTTTGGTTAGGTTAGATTTAAATGTCAAAAGTTACACTTTTGTGTTTTATGTGTATGCAAATGCAAAGAGATGTTTGAGTGTGCCTGTCTCTTAATTTGTGCTAGGAGAGTGGTTCTCAAATTTTTTTCATCAAGTACCACCTCAGAAAAAAATTGTCTCTCCAAGTACCACCAAAATGAGCAGTATTGAAATACAGTAGTATAGTAGGCCCAGTAAAGCAGCTAAAACTCTGCACAGTTAAAAAATGTGGCAAATTACCTCAGAAATATAAGCTATATGTCATATATGGCATACTATATACATCATTTTTGATAAATTTTGAAATATATGTAGCATGTACATGCCATATTTCATTCCTCCGCGTACCACTAGAAGGAAGCCCGCGTACCACTAGTGGTACACGTACCACAGTTTGAGAACCACTGTGCTAGGAGATCTGTTCAAGAGTTTAGGTGGCAGATATGAAAAGGATCTACTGCTTACAGTACTTACTGCTTACTTGATAATTTCTAAATAATCAATTGTCCTGAATGAATTGAGCATAGTAGACATGAGGGGCTGTAACACACCAAGCGCTGCCTCAAATACTGGGGAGCTAAGCTATTCAGTAGCCAGAAAATTAAAAAATGTATACAGCTTTTATCAAGGTCCCAATGTATAATAAAAGAACTGGAGTGATATGATCATATTCCTTAGTTTTAGAAAGTACTCTTGCAGCTGCATTTTGAACCAACTGAAGTTTGTTTATTAGGCCTATAAAGTAATCAACCACTTAGTAACACAATGCGATAGGCCCAAACCCAATTCTATTTTAATACCCCTACTTCTTCCCCTTCCCCTTGGCCCTTTAAACAGAATGTGAAGAGGAAGGGCTTCAAAATTCAGCCCCAAGAAATGGGACAGCACTGCAGCACTGCACACGTCATCATATGTCATTGGGATCTCTGCGATCACAACCAGTGTAGTTATTCCAGTTGTGCTATTTGTTGGTATTTATCTTCAGGAAGTCACTGAAGGCAACGGTATCATGTTACCATAACGATATACTGTGGCAATAAGATCGTAACTGTGCATTTATACCATATTCATCTATATAAATACACAAAAAACACAATAACATTATACCAGACACTGTAAAAAGCTCATTCCCAGCCAATAGACTTTTCTGACAGGGTATTCGAGTGTCACTGAGTGACAGAATGTTGTGGGACTACTATACAGGAGTTATTATTATGTATTATAGATAGCGAAATTTATCGTTTTTTATTTTAGCATTTTTTTTTACACGAACATGGTCATAAATGTATTAAAACACATGCTTGTTTGTTAAAAGAATTCATATTAATGACAACAAAATACTAATTTATGAATCTCCTGACTGGTTTGAGCGTGGTCTTGACAAATCTCCATTTCAATGGGTATCTAGGACTTTACTCTAGCCTTACACCTTCAAGCTAAAGAC